CTTGTGTCATTAAAGTTTCGTTGGAACGAAGTTACGGAAAAATCAATTAACAAACGGAGACGTAACACTATTATATAAATAATGTTTACATATTCTATCAATCATGTCATTAATATTATGACGTGTAGTGTCTCTCACATTCTGGAAAACTCATATCCAGAGTAAAGATATGTAAGAAGGGACAACGAGAGGATTTAGTACTTCAGTGTGAATTCAAGTAGAGGATTCTAAGTTGATCGCCCCCCAGTGGCACAGCGGTATATCTGCGGACTTACAACGCTAGAATTCGGGTTTCGATACCCGTGGTGGGCAGAGGACAGATAGCCTATTGTGCAGCTTTGTGTTTAATTACAAACAAACAAATATAAGTTGATTAACACTAAATAATTGTTAATTATTAATTTGAGTGTACAGTTTGGTGAGTTTGGGAAAAAGCTAATATTTTTTTATATACACATGCAAATTTTATGTAATTTAATAATACGTGGACCTTTTTTTATTTACGAAATGAAAGCTGATTCCAAGCATTGAGAGAACATGTTTAAAAAAATCACTAAACAAAAGTAATTTTCGTTTCCTATCCCCAGGTCCACTAAGAGAACGTGGAGGCTTGGGGGGTGGGTATGAGAGCGCAAAAAATATAAGTGATAAAATGTATAAATTAATAGCGAACGTTTAACCTGCCCATCCACTTTATTTTTAGTGAATACGTTGCACTTAGTGTTAGTTCTCATAAACCCAGTGTTTAGTTTTTAAGTTAAACTGTACACTATATAACTTTGACCATTTAAATGATGTTATCGTACAAGGTTAGCTTGTTGATACATATGTTAAGATAATTAAATACTTTTAATAAAGAAATGGTTGATATGGTTATATGAAAGAACTAGGTTATAAAAATTATAACTAAGTTACTTGTTTATGTAAAATTATAATAGATGTCGCTAGAACACAAATAATATTAATATTTAGACATGCATATGATATAGCACTAATTTTAGAACCCGCAAGTTCTTCAAGGAGTATTTTTATTATACTTCACTTACATAACATGATCATGTTCACTGGCATATCTAGGATTACCTGAGAGACCTCAGGTCTCCAAGTTAGATTGCCCAATATGCATGGCTTCTGAGCACTAACGGAACACAGTTAAGTAGTTCATTTAGAGGGTGCATTAAAACATTGCATTTTTTAACACATTAAGTAGCAGGGCATTTCACCCAGTGATCCCTCTTTCCTGCCCCACCACTGAAGGAAAATGTTCCCTTTTGTCCCAATAGCCTAGGACATTTTGGGCCCTTAGCCTAATATTCAAATCAACCATGTTCTCACAAATTATTCCCATTTTTAATCACTAAAACAAAGTCTGACTGTAACAAATGTTCAAAGACCACATGCTGTTTGTTATTCATTGTTTTAACAATTGACTCCATGTAAACCTGTTGTTAATTAGCTCTCTCGCTACTTGGTTGGTCAATTTGACTGATTTATACTTTGGACTTGAACTAGGTGCTAATATGTTTTGATGTAACATTTGTAGAACAAACTTGTAAAACTCTTACTTGATGAGCTTTAAACCCTAATTCATTTTTATAACTAGTGTATCCTCACATATTGATGTTTTATAACCAGTGTGTCTTCCTATACTGATATTTTTATAACCAGTATATCCTCACATATTGATGTTTTTATAATTAGTGTATCCTCACATATTGATGTTTTAACCATTACACGCTGTAAGAAAGATGTTCATTTTTATAACTCGTGTATCCTCACATATTGATATTTTTATAACCAGTGTCCTCAGATATTGATATTTTTATAACTACTGTGTCCTCACATATTGATATTTTTATAACCAGTGTGTCCTCCTATATTGATATCTTTATAACCAGTGTGTCCTCCTATATTGATATCTTATAACCAGTGTGTCCACACATATTATTATTTTTATAACTAGTGTATCCTCACATATTGATATTTTTATAACTACTGTATCCTCACATATTGATATTTTTATAACTACTGTATCCTCACATATGGATATTTTTATAACCAGTGTGTTCTCCTATATTGATAGTTTTATAACTAGTGTATCCTCACATATTGATATTTTTATAACTACTGTATCCTCACATATTTAGAGTTTTATAACCAGTGTGTCCTCACATATTGATAGTTTTATAACCAGTGTGTTCTCCTATATTGATAGTTTTATAACTAGTGTATCCTCACATATTGATATTGTTATAACTACTGTATCCTCACATATGGATATTTTATAACTGCCCCCCAGTGGCACAGCGGTATGTCTGCGGACTTACAATGCTAGAATCCGGGTTTCGATACTCGTGGTGGGCAGAGCACAGATAGCCCATTGTGTAGCTTTGTGCTTAAATACAAACAAACAAACATGTTATTTTATTACTAGTGTATCCTCACATATTGATATTTTTATAACTACTGTATCCTCACATATGGATATTTTTATAACCAGTGTGTTCTCCTATATTGATAGTTTTATAACTAGTGTATCCTCACATATTGATATTTTTATAACTACTGTATCCTCACATATTTAGAGTTTTATAACCAGTGTGTCCTCACATATTGATAGTTTTATAACCAGTGTGTTCTCCTCTATTGATAGTTTTATAACTAGTGTATCCTCACATATTGATATTTTTATAACCAGTATATCCTCACATATGGATATTTTATAACTAGTGTGTTCTCATATATTGACGTTTTGTTTGATAATGATATTTATTATGATTGGTAGATTTAAACGACCGATTGCAGAAAAATATTGGGCCCTTTATGAAGGTTTGCCCTACCACTTAAAATTCCTTTAAAATGCCCTGCATTAAAAGAAATATTACAAGAGACTGGGAAAAAACACCACCTCCAATTTTCCAAAGAAAGATTGATTTTTAAAACTGGATATTAATGGAGTTTTGATAACGAAAAGGTAAAATTTGTGTAACATTCTCGGAAATTTCCAATTCCTATGCAGAAAACTGGGTTACTGAGTACTCTTGACATTGAATGTTCGGCTAGTGGAACACCAGAATCTTACATCCAGAGAATAAGAAATCAACATAAAGGCAACTCTAGGTATTGAACAACTACTTTATCGTATGAAATGTTTAATGATTCTAGCCTCATTTCAGTATTTTGTAATTTAGGCTTTTAACACTCTTGTTATGAAAACTAAATAATCATTAAATAAATAATAACTATTAAGATAAACAATCTTGTATATCCAACAAAATTATTGTAGTCTAATTTTAATGTTTTGAAAATTTATGTCTTAATTAATATGGCTATGTTTAGAAATTAATGTAGGTTGATTTAAATTTTTGTAAGTTTAGGCAGACGACACTAATTTAATTTCAGCGTTTTAAATATTTAGGCCTAATTCAAATGTCTGCGGTTAGAAATTATTGCATTTTAATTTCAGTATTTTGCACGTTTTGTCCAAACTCTTATGTCTATGATTTGAGGTGATTGCAGCTTGATTTCAGTATTTCAAAAGCTTTAGGCCTAATTATATGTTTATATTTAGAAAACATTGCAGCCAGATTTTGATATTTAAGAAGTTTAAAATTTCAGCTAATTAGCTAGTTTTTGTTTTATAGCTTCTGAAAACTAAAATATTTTATGTAGAAGCAAAATTTCTCAAACGTAAATTCCTGTTCAGAAATTATTTGTAATTACTGTTTTTTGTTGTTGTCTTTTATTGTGAATGTCGTCTATCAAGATTATTTTTGTAAGTCTTTGACATGTATAATAAAAATGTTAAAATAATTGTTTTTCTCATAGGCTTATATTTGAATCGAATATCGCAAGTTTTGGAGTTCGGCATTTTGCAGGAAATATTTTTTATAACACAACCGATTTTCTTGAAGCAAACAAAGATGTTGTTTCGGATGATATCGTATCTGTGTTCCACAAAAGCTCATGCAGCTTTGGGTTTGCCATTCATTTGTTTGGAATTGAATTAAAAGCACTTTATTCAAAAGGTTGGTAAATGAAGTGCACCAAGAGATACTTTTTAACGATAATAAAATATTAGGATTTTTAAATACTGTACATTAGCTATTAAAGTAAAAACTAGTACGTTTTAGATAACAGTTGTATATAACTGAAAACGTTTGTCAAACTGTTGTTAGTCATGTACTTGTTTTTACAGTAAAATATACAACACTGTCTGTAATCACAAAACTAACATTTTAAATATTCATGTTAACATCCTTTTGAGATCGCACAAGTATAAGAATTCGTGAATTTAGAATACAAAACATATTACTTTTTCATGTTGTAAAGAAGGCACACTAGGTGTATGTTACGTCTCCGTTTGTTAATTAACTTTCCGTAACTTCGTTCCGACGAAACTTTAGCGACACAAGCCCTTACTTAATAAAACTGGTTTATTCTTTCCGAATACAACTTTACGATACACTTAATTTCAATATTCGCGCTAAAACAAACACTATAACGAACGAACGTTAACTTCAACAATACCCTGTGACCGCAGTTCAATTACTCACTATCTACACACACATTATTATTCCGTCATGTTATCACCTCTTTTATATACCATACTACCCTATATCTAGTAATTACTAGAGCATTCGCCAAGGTACAGGATAGTTCTAGATACGTGGCGTCACAGTAGTCATGTGACTCGCTGACGCAACATGTATAAAAACCTCAAATAAACAAATTAAATATAGTTTGGGGCTCAAAAAGTGTTTAATAATCTAATAAGTTTTTAGTTTTAACGATACAAAGTATATTGGAAGACGAAAAAGTTGATAACTAACGTGTTTGAATGTTAGGGAATATTTTAGTATGATGTAACATATAACCAAACTAAGTCTTACATTCAGTAGTTAAAGAGTAAAATGGATGTGATAAATGATGTTAACATCTGATACATTTTATCTGTAACTTTTCTAGGAACAGTTCCTCGAGGTACATCCTTCAGAATTTCTCCGACATCTCATACAGGATTGTAAGTGTATTGAATATACTTTGAAATTTATTGAGCAGGTTGTACTTCATTAGACTCAAACTAGTTAATTAACCTAATTAGCCTGATTTGTCGCTGGGAATAAAGTATTGTTAGGTATTATAAGTATTGGATTTCACTGGTTACTTTTAGGACTGAAAAATGACTTAGAGATGTTATCAAAGAAATAAAATTTGTTGGATTATTACTGAAGTTTCCAGTTTAGATTTAAGGTGAGCCATTGGTTAGCGTGTGGGACTGAGATTTTGAGGGTCCATGGCTCGCATTCTATTGCCGTAAAATCTCGCTTCGCATAATGAGGCCATGAGTATGTTATAAGAGAAACAATCAAATCCCACTATTTATTAGAGTAGCCCAAGAATTTGTGCTGAGTACTGTTGACTAGTTGACTTCCTTCCAGTCTATCAGTTCAAAATTAGGGATGGCTAGCATTCGAGGTTTGATACCATCAAATATACATTGCACTTTCACCTCTTGGTGCGTTATAAGAATGACAGTCAATCCAGCTAATCGATTTATAGTAGCCGCATCAGGCGGAAGGTGTTACCGACTGATTGCGTCATTTTATGTGAATTCAAAATTAATGACGACACCAAGAGTGTGTTTGACCTGGTCGTTTAGACCGTTTGGGGATATCGTTCAGGTGAACAAACAAATAAATTATAACACCTAACTTCCGCTAGAGCAGCTCTCGTGTTATTAATATTGATTAGCGCCCCTTCAGGTGTATTTAAGTAATTAACATAGGAGCTAGAGAGTGGGGTATTGTAAGATTAACGTAAAATATTCCACAGTGTTACTGTACGTTAGGTTTGCACTGGTCAACACCGTTAAGCGTTGAATACGATAGAGTGTAGTACGATCTTCGTCTTACCAGGTCACAGGTCTACAAGACTCTTGCCCTAAATGTGTTTCACAGTGCACCGAATGAATTTTAAGGTATTACGTAAATATTGCAATTATGATTTAATTAGTTTGAGTGGTAGCTACTTCTTGGGGGCTCAAGCCTCAAATCTTTTCGGTAACTAGCGACACCCATGCCGTTAAGCATTGCATAACACATTAAAAAATGTTAACACTAGGGCAATGGCTAGTGGGGAGGGGCAGACGGGTCAGTTCCTTGAAATGTTCCACCCAAGTTAATGACTTCCATTGATATAATTTTATATTTATTTTAGATTGGACCACACTATATATCTCATTGATCCGTGTTAAAAAAAAGAGCTGAGGGTCGGAACTATTTAACACCTTTAATCGTGGGATTAAAGTGAGGAAGGAGGGTATTTTTATACACTGTATGTAGCCAGGTTGTGATAGTACATCTATTATAATAATACATAGTTCTCACTGTATGTAGGCAGGTTGTGATAGTACATCTATTATAATAATACATAGTTCTCACTGTATGTAGCCAGGTTGTGATAGTACATCTATTATAATAATACATAGTTCTCACTGTATGTAGCCAGGTTGTGATAGTACATCTATTATAATAATACATAGTTCTCACTGTATGTAGCCAGGTTGTGATAGTACATCTATTATAATAATACATAGTTCTTGTCTGTCCTGAAAAGGCCCGGTGGTTAGGGCTCTTGACTCGCAATCTGAGGGTCATGGGGTTCGAATCTCCATCCCACTGAACATGCTCGCCCTTTCAGCCGTAGGGGCGTTATAAAGTTACTGCCAATCCCAAAGAGTAGCCCAAGAGTTGGTAGTGGGTGGTGATGACTAGCTGCATTCCCTCTAGTCTTTCACTGCTAAATTAGGGACAGCTAGCGTAAATAGCCCTCGTGTAAGTTTGCGCGAAATTCAAACGAAACCAAATTGTCCTGAAAATGCACGCACACCTTACTATTTAAATTCGCATGCACGCACACTTCATTTCAACAGATGCAAACAAACGTCGGATGTAAATATGCTTTAATATACATTTTGTACAACAACATATTAAAAGCTTATCAATGTTTTAAAAAAGGTTTAAGTTAGGTCGTAGGATAACATTATAAGTTTATCTATTGATAGAATTAAGTACGGTAAAGTTTAGCCCTAACTATACTAGAGCAAAAAATTTACACAAGTTAGTGTTACTTTATCTATGTGTCGAATATAGGCCGTATTTAATAAAGGCTTAACTAATGTTAGGCTTAAGAAAAGTGATCTTATAGATTCCGGCGTCTGGGATTAGAATTTTTTTCTATTATTCTAGAAATCCTGTGTTTAGAAAAAAAAGTACTGTTGAAATAAAGATACTGATTTATCCAAAAGATTTTAGCGGGTCTCTGCTAATTTATCATGTCACCTTAATTCAGCATTAACTCTACATAATTTGATATCAATTAGATTAATTAAGGAAGACGCGACAGTTTCAAAACAAGCACTTATATTTTTGGGAACTTATGTCTGGCTTGTTTGTTTGTTGTTAAGTGCAAAGCTAGACAACCGGTATCAAAGTCGGACTTTTACCCTTATAAGCCTTCAAACTTACCACTGAATGTTCCTTTTATAGAACATTGTTATGAAAACCATGCATATAGGAACGAAGAAAAACGTTAAAAATACTACTGTTATTTATCGCAGACTCGTCCAAATATAAATTATTAACTCAGAGCAAACTTTTGTTGAGTTTATACAAAAGTTGAGTATGTTATATTAAAACGACTTAGGCGCCTTACCATGTCGATACAGTTCCATGTCGCCATGTCCGATCATGCTCTATTTGACAGCTCTGCATCTTGACAATAGCCCTGCAGCTTAGTTCCATTACGAAAGGCTTTGTGTTAAGGCTGTAATGTCCAAATCACATTACTATTTCCTGTTTGATTTCCATAATTACTGTAATGTACGAAGTTGACGGTTTTCAGTGCTCTTTTTCAATAGTCTTATTCCAAAGAAATCTATAGGCGCTGCGTCCAGTGACGGGACTGGTAGTTTTTATGATGAACTAGCGTATAGCCCGTCAAAAATGACGGGAAAGTACTACCACCCCACCCCATAGTATACACTAATCTCAAATTTCATAGCTAACTGAAATAAATAAGTTTTGCGAAATCAAGCTTGACCAACAAAGAGGCAGTCAAACGTCGGCAAGTTCCTTTATGAGCCAATCAAAATTAAGATCATTTATGAAATGAATTCGTGGTGTATTCATAGAATAATTATTGGTAAAAATCAGTTACATTAATTGTTTGTTTGTTTTTAATTATGCACAAAGCTACACAAGGGCTATCTGTGCTCTGCCCACCTCGGGTATCGAAACCCGGTTTCTAGCGTTGTAAGTCCGCAGACATACCGCTGTGCCACTGGGGGGCAGTTACATTAATAACTTCTAATATATAGAAAAGCCAGTGCGTTTTGGTAACACTACGTTCCAATAATAGCTTTCATGTCATGTTGCTTAGCAATAAAAGTATAACCTAATATTGTTGTTAGTTTATACTAATAAAATGCATAGACAACAAAACTGGAAAAATATTTGTTAATTTCTTAACTTAGAGTCTTCGTTGATTAAAAAGGTTTGTTTTGTATTAAAAACGTTGGTGATATAACGGAAAATAGCTTAATACAGAAACGATTTAAGTTTAAAATTAAATCGATATTTTTACTTTCATGAAAAATTTTATGCACTTGGCTCTAGGCTAGGTGTTCCCACACTACGTCTTTACTTTAGGCTTATTATACCAACACTCACTACACTTATAAGGTTTCACGGCACACCTTCCCCCTCACGGCCCCCATGCACCCCCCCGTCAGTTAAATCGTAATGGACAGAAAGTAATTGAACTATTCTATCTGAATAAATGCATTTTAGCTTTTATGACTCCTCCTATTTCGATAAATCAAGCGTGACGTGAAACACAATAACTTTTATATAGGTTAGATAGCATGAATGCCCGTTTAATTCTCCAGCTACTTCATGTATGGGACTCTTGAACGGATATGTCGTGGAATTAACTTGTGTACAGATGATTTGTGCTGATTCTTCATAAGAACTCCTTCTTGATTATGGCGCATACTGTTGCTTGGGGCACGTGAATGGCTTTTGCCTCTGACATTTGTGTTTGTTGATTATCATCTGTAACAATACGCCACACTGGCTGGGGTACGACTTGTTGCAGATTTCTCTCTGGATAGTCCTAGTGTCCCAAGTTGATTCATATTTCTTTGTTTTTTAATGCCATTAAGTGAGAAAATTTTGTAAATTCTAAATCTCCAAATGAACACATCTTTGTTATCTAAGTGTATACATATTGTTCGTCTTAAAGAGCTCTTACATACTCTTTCCAAATGCAATCAATTTTCAGTGACGTCACGCTACCTACGAAAACGCCAAACAATGTCAAATTGTAGTCCTGATACATTCCGTCCCCCGAGACTTTATGTCATCTGTGGTTGTCACGTAATTTGCCTCTTTGCATATTCAAAATTGTTTTAATGCAGGGTACTACGCAGAACTTGACATTTTAATTTGTTGAGTTTCTATTATATAGAACTTGTGTTATCGAACGATTATATTTTATTCACTTTAAATTTGTTAAGATTTACTGACTTGTACTAATATATAGAAAACTATGTCATGTTTCAGACAAAATGGAGACGAGCCAGTATCAACACTTACCCAAGACTTCCATACTCGACTAGATAATTTACTGAGAACTCTAGTCCATGCTAAGCCTCACTTCATTAGGTGCATCAAGGTAATTTACTTCTTTTTATGTTTTCAGACTAGAACCACTGATTTCATTTTGGCTAATGTTTTTTGTAAGGATGCATGAAGACACTAACTTACAAAAGTGACAACAAATTCTGCAGACATTGTGATCATTTGATCAGATTTGTAGTTTTTAACATGGCTGGTTTCATTGAAACCTAAGATAAACCATTACAATCCGTCTACTTGTTTCATTGAAACCTAAGATAAACCATTACAATCCGTCTAGTTTCTTTGAAACCTGAGATAAACCCATTACAATTCATTAACTTGTTTTTTATCCCTGAGATAAACCCATTACAATCCGTCTACTTGTTTTTTATCCCTGAGATAAACCCATTACAATCCGTCTACTTGTTTTTATCCCTGAGATAAACCCATTACAATTTATTAACTTGTTTTTTTATTCCTGAGATAAACCCATTACAATCCGTCTACTTGTTTTTATCCCTGAGATAAACCCATTACAATTTATTAACTTGTTTTTTTATTCCTGAGATAAACCCATTACAATCCGTCTACTTGTTTTTTATCCCTGAGATAAACCCATTACAATCCGTCTACTTGTTTTTTTTATCCCTGAGATAAACCCATTACAATTCATTAACTTGTTTTTTTATTCCTGAGATAAACCCATTACAATCCGTCTACTTGTTTTTTTATCCCTGGGATAAACCCATTACAATT